GGCGGTCAAAGCTGAGGGCGATTGTCAACACACTTGGCTTATCGCGAGGTGCCAGTCTTGTATTTGTTGGCTCCTCAAAACATGTAAGAAAGCCCAACTGAATATATATAATTTTATATGGAGAAACAGAAAGCAAGGTATATAAGAAAAGGCACAATTAGTCAAATAATGTAAGCCAGAGGGAGGACTCGTACACGGATAGCATTAGGACTTGAGTCAATGATTAGGAGATGTTGTCAGGAATAAATTGGATACGAAGAGCCGTTGTTCTATCAACGAAATGACAGTTCAGTATTCAGTATATTCAATTATCATCCCCCAAAGGGAATTATTTTTAATAGGAGCAGTGGGGACGGTTGGATTTTTTGAAAAGCTGAGGTTAGTGCGAATTACAAAAGATTGCCTGTAAAACCTGATCACGCTGAATGTTCAGAGGTACGTCCGAAGATACTACTGTAAAGATTTAGTTTACGACATAATTCTTAGCCGGCATGGCTCCACGCTGTATGGGAGATATAACATAACCAATGAACGAATAAGATCAGAGACCAAGGCTCGTATTGGGGGTACAGCAACACGTTGTGATGGAGGCACAGGAAAATAACGGTAGTATAGCCTTGACGCGAGGGATAGAGCGTCCAGAGGGTCAATCATACACAACTGGATTCCCTCAAAGGAAAGATTGAGGTATTACAGATATGCTCTGCTTACTAGGAAATTTACAGTATAAGCACAGCGTCCTTAATCCAGCAAGGATTCACAACGACACTGTGGCACATTCAGGAGAGTAAGGATAATGCGTGTGACCAGAATCGAATTGCACAAAGCGCAGAATTGGACTGATAAGGGAAGTGCAGCGGAAGCAAAGTGCATAGCGGAATCAAGTTTAAAGAAATGTCTTGTTCAACGCTTGCGTCAACGAGCGGAGAAATATTAAAGCTCGCGAGATATAAGAGACTCAGATCTTAACACGAATCTCGAGAACAAGCATGTTACGGAATATATGAAATGGCCGAAAGTGCGTCCCCACAAAGCAACACAAGAATTACAGTTGAAAATGCAGATCAATGGATATTATCCAGCTCGCAGACACATTCAAAAAGAAAGAGTTTGTTTCGGACGGTGGAGCAAGGTGGTCTGTCAGTCGATAGTGAAACTATCACAGCACCCTTCTTTTTATCATGTGTTGCGCGGGGTCAGTGACCGCAGGTTTGGCATCCGATGTATGAGTGCGGGTGCTGTAAAAAGTTAGAAACAGATTAACAATCGCACACGTCTGTGAATTAAATCAGAGGGTTTTAAGGGGTACATGTAAGTTTAAATTATTGCCATTACTTGGACTGTTCCTCTCTCGGAGAAGACAAATTGGTCCGCCACGCTTAGGTGACGCTTATCGATTAATTGTAACACATGCTTCTGAGTTTGAAGATTTATATTCTTATAGGTTGGGTTGAAATTAAAATACGACCCTCAATGTAATTACGTAGATAATCTGGATGATGTTATAAAATATGGATTACATTTAAGAGCATCTTAAGCATAGTGTCATAGAAAAAAAAAAATTTACTCTAACAGAAACTCTATTCGTGTATTATCCGGACTTTTATTTGCTCGCATGGGTGTCTTATCTGCCTAATTTGATTTGGTGCAATGTAGACGTGATGCTGGTAAGGGATGTATCCGTTACTTCGGCTGAATGTCGAAAGCTGGGTTGTCTGGAATGTTGCTGGCTTCAGAGCGGAGCTCTCCGGTTTACTGGTGGATTCTCTAGTCAAGAGCAACTCCTGCTATAGTCAGGATTCTTTCTTGTTGGAAGGAATCGCCAGTTTTTATGACTGACCCTTTGATTATCCATCAGGTCAGCCTGAGGTTAAGATACTTATTTTCTTGTGCATACCAAGTTTGTGTAAATAGAGGGGTTTTCCCTATTTATCTGTTGAGTTGTGTATGTTGATTCCCAGTGAGGTGAGCCGAATGCAGGCTAAAGTTATTGTAAAGCTAAACATTCTTGCCAGTAGTAGTATGTACTTGAAATTCAGATAGTGTATTACAGGGCAATTCTGTAATGGTCCATAACTCACCTGATTTTAACAAAAAATCCAAACCTCCCACTTTTTATAAAATAGTATTTTTGGGGATGATGATGAATATATGAATATGATTCGGGTTCTGTGATAGAAAGGCGTTGTTATCCAAGTTTATTCTAACTGCCTTATCATTGACTCAAAAAGGGTTTTTTTTCCTAATGTATTTTCCTCCCTTGCTTACATTTTTGACTAATTGTGACTTTTTTATATAATAAAAAAATAAAAAAAAATATCTCCATATAAAATTATATATAATTGAGTTGGCTTTCTTAATGTTTTGAGGAGCAACAAATAAAGACTGGCATGGATAAACCAGTTTTGAAATGCCCTCAGCTTTGGACAGTATGTTCCTACCAAACATGAAGAGATCTCTAGTTAGCCAATGATTTAGTGTTTTCTTCATAATCTCTAGTTTTTCATGAAAATTATTACTTTCCCTTAATTTGTTATGTTTTTGACCATATTATTTAAACCCAAGTATTTTACTTTTTTCACAGGAATTGACATTATATAGTCTTCATTGCAGTGGGAGAAGCTCACATTTGTTCAAATTCAAACCCAAACCAGATGCTCTGGAGAATATGGAGATTACGTTTAAGGCTTTTTCAATTATAGATTTATCTCGTAGAAAAAATACTGTATCATCAGCAAACTGACTGATACGAAATTGGCTGTGTGTGTTTACCTGCAGTTTCCCGCTCTGTCACACTGACTCAGTACTGCTGCAGTTGCAGCGGTCCTCTAGCGGGGGGTAGCAGAGTGTGCTCACATTATACATTAATCAATCAGATCAAACTGCTCCATTAATACAAATATGAGTAATTAATAACTGATGATTTCTGTGTTCAGGTTCCACAACATGATTAATAACTTTAATTGTATTATTATTTAATGAATGAATACACAGATTAGTTTTTTAACACATTATTTATTTATTAATCTTTATATTATTTATACATAATCGAGTATTTCCAATATTTTATTATTTATTATTGTCTTTTAAGGTATTTGTGATGTCAGAAATGTTCAATACAAATAAAGTGTATTATTATTATTATTATTAATACATTCATCATGAGGCTGTACAACAACTTCCATTCATCCATTCTGGTTGCTGACAGTATCCCAGCATGCACTGGGCTAAAGGCAGGGTACACCTGTGCAGGTGAGCAGTGGTCAGAACAACAACTCTGTCTATTTTACAGATTGTTTCTGTATTTATGAATAAATGGAAATATTAATAAAAATATCCTGTGAATTTACATGTTTAATGTAAAATATCAAAATTCCCTAACTGTAACTAAATAATTCAATAACTTTTAACATTCAGATTAAA